AGAAAGCGACTTTTTCGCGTTTCGCAGGCGAAACATTTTCGCTGCAGGGAACTCAGGTCCACCGATGATCAGGAGTGGACCTGAGGTTCCCGCAGCGAAAAATGTTTCGCGCGCGAAACGCGAAAAATTCGCTTTCTGTCCTAGTGAACCACACCCGCACAATTGCGCGGAAAGCGACAGAAAGGGGTAAGAATACCGGCTGGGGCGAAAGTTTTGCCCACAACGCAGTATTCTTGTGATGTAGTAATTGTATACACACTCAAGGCTACGAAGTTGAAACGGATTTCTGCAGCGAAAGTTCGCTATGTGTGGCAGACCAGTAATCGCCTGACAGAATATTATTCGCTATATGCAAATAAATGTTCGACAAATTCGCCAATGATAAAATTACTTTCGCTGCAAATGTCACACGCGTCGTGAACAGCATAATTCAAAAAAAAATGCTGCGCTTCCACAAAATTGTAACGGTATGTTGAATACTTACAAGCCATATTATCAACAAAAAATTGCCAATTACAACCTATTTATTGCAATGATAATAACCTTCGAATATAGCCTATATACATCAACATCAACACTAAAAAGAACTAAAACTAACTGAGCATGGGAAGCCATGAAAAAAGTAACATAACAGTAACATAGAAATATAAAGTTGAGAAAAGCACAAAAGCTGCTTTTTCGCTCTCAAAACACGTGCACCGTCAGATCAAGCCCACATAGCAAATCTTCGATCATATTAATTTATCGAAAGTTTCGAAATTAGTTAGTTTATGCTCAAACGACCATCAACAATGGCAGCAGGACATGAAACACAAGAGTGTGCTACAAAAATGATCACTCCAATGAGTTGGATTCCTTGCGATTACTTCTTAAATCCTTTCAAGATTGGATAGATTTGGCTAAAGGCATCGTCGATATCTTTCTTGAATTTGGCTCCCGTTATCACAACCTGAACAATGATCAAGTTATAAGATACCTTGTGCAGCGTGAGGCAGTTAACAGACTTTGCTTCTTATCTCTAGCGATTTGTGCGACTTGTTAGCGATTAATCGCAAAGTCTGACAAGAAATGCCCAGAAATCTCAATTTGAAAGCCAGGCCAACGCGTCGGAAAAACGTAAAGAGATGACAAAAAGATGGCTCACCTTGCCCGAGACGAAAATCAACAACACCACACGAGGTTTCACCATTCGATAGATCAATCCAGGGAAAAGCTCCGGTTCATAAGTACTGAACTGAGTGTGCGTCACACAAAGTCCTTCAAGTTGAATAGGAAATCGAACATCACATGATCCTACCATATTTTGCACCTTAAGCGAAAACAATGAAGAAGCCTTCTACTGAACCCCCTGATACGGTTTCTGTATGTCCGCCTCAGGCAGAATTGAACACGATAGCTCACGATTTGGGCGAATCGGCGATCCTGCTGAAAGGAATACATAAGTATCAATCGAAACCTCGGCAACTAGGCGATTAGGCGATTCGCTGAAAGATTGGGTGAAAATCAACATTGCCCAATGACTGTTGTGCGATGAGGTGCGTCGGCGATCCTTTATACTTATACAATCCTTTCAGCACAATCGCCAAATCGCCACATCGCTGGATCGCCAAATCGTCCAGATCGTGAGCTATGAATATCGCCTAACAAAATTAGTAGCTCCTGTCGAAGCTTGAGACATTGACACTAAAATGATAGCAGACGATAAGGGTAAATAAAAATGCGTTGAAAACAAATGTCAGCAATTTCCTTGTGCAGTTGGCGTGGTCAACACATTTACACTCATGTGTTCTACAATGGATCGGACAACGTTATTAGTTACTATAGAAGGCACTACAATAATAAATAAAGGATAAAGGATAAAGCATTTGCCGTTGATCAATCCCTTTTTGGGATGCGGCACGCATTCTACTTCCATTTGTACATTCGTAGTGGCGTTTGAATGCGATGTGGCCTATACAATGACTTGCGACCAATTAACCGACCCCGGAGGGATGGAAGGCTTGGTTGGCCCGGGCGACTCACGACCCAGGATTTGATCCCCGGACCGCTCGCGTGCCACTTGCCACTACACCACTTCCGCCCAATTACAACTTATAAGCTGATAAAATGCTCTTCAATGGAAAGTCACCGGAGATATTACATAAACTTGAGAAACAACGAGTCGAAGGCACAACCCAAGATGAGTTCAGCAGGAGGTCAGCAGTTCAGCAATTCCACTAATGGGTAGGATAGAAGTGTCCACTAAACGAGTAGTTATCCAGTTCGCCCGGCTCGAAATTGCGTGATAACGGCGCTAGGGCCTTAGCAACCCAACTAAACCGCTTCCACTTTTTTCTGATTCGCAAAACGCGGTTGTCCGCGCGCTCTCATCCTTGTGCTCAGTCACCTGTTCTCTGTTCTCCGTTTTCAGTGTGTCCTTGCCTCAGCAAAGCAAAATGAGAAAAATGATTAGACCTCAATCTAAGCGTTTTCGACAAACTCATATCGCTTTTTTCATTATCGATCCACTTTGCACTTCTACACCCTTTTCAATGTGTATGGATCACACCAGGCTGATTGAGAGGTTTGAATTTCAAAAACTGCTTCATAAGGACACTGCAGTTTCCATCGTCAATAGTAATAGTTTGTACCAGGGTCAACAGTCACTGGCAATTACCACATAAGGAGGTCGTAGTTGTGATTTAGGCGAGAAAAAGATAATTTTTGGAGACATGGGTAGAGGAATTTCTTGTATGTGTAAATTTTCGATGGGGAGAATGATGTCGGTTTCATTCAGTTTTGCAATTTTAGCCGTTTGAGACATATGCACCCCTCCCGCAACTCCAAGGCTCGAAATTTTGCAGATGAAGCTCGATAAAAAAAACTGTCCGGACCACTCCTAAGCGAGTCAATTGTCGCGTTCTGCTGATTGCAAGATTTTTATGACGTTCCCTCAAACACTCATTCGCTGCGTCGCGCCTCCGGCTTTGGAGCGTGGCGAGAGAGAAGGTTGTAAAATAACGCTCTTGAGACGAGCACAGTTCCCTCGAAAATTAACATTTTACAAAACTCCATGCACAATTGGAATCTACGTGATTTCTCCTATCAGAAACTTACATGCTTTCCTCAAAGATTCCGCAGTTTTTTCTTATGAAGTGTAAAGTAGAACTTAATAAAAGCGCTTCATGCCCGAAGTCATTACCTTGCGTCACATGCGATATTAAGCCGAAAATTTTGAAATATGAAACCCCTTCCAAATAGTACGCCTGCCCACCTTTGTCGGGCCAAACGCAGATTTTCTAGCCCTTTACGTAAATGGATACTGTAGAGACTCTTGGACATGGGGACGAAATTAGACTGTGCGAGCTTTCTAAGTAGTTTTTACTTGACACTCGAAGCTCGCTTTTCGATCGCACGCATTGCGGAGAAGTCATCTCGGGAGTGGGAAGGGGGAGGAACGTTACCAACCGATTTTCGCGAAAAAGCGAATTTGAACTGTGACGAATGTAATAGCTCTCTTCTACACGGATTCTGTGAAAGCCATCAGAAATGGGGAAAACCAAAGACTACAAGCTTCAACGAGACCTCACTTACAACCTAAAATCATTATCCGCAGAACTCGCACAGGTGTTTTTTTTAGTTTTTCCGACAAAATTTCTCGAGCGAACAAGTTTTCGACATTCCAACAATCGTAACTTCCCTTCACAATAAATGAAAAGCTTCGGGGAAGGAGACTTTGCAATTCAAATAGGCTACAGAAATGTATCGTTGCAGAATTACTTGAAAATATTATTTGCGAATGCTCCTTTGTTTGTTAAAGAAGCAGGTTCGAACCCGCCTCGGGCGAAGGTTTCGTTCATAACTAGCATTGCTAGAACCTTCTGAGAATCTTTTTCATTCTAGTTTCTCGTTCAGAATCATCTGGATTCCTTTATCCGCAATTCTTCGCTCATGATAATTCAAGCTTAAAGCCTTTGCCATTAGCACTGGGATGCGCCACGCACGCGTCTGCGGTTCTTAAGGTCGTTGAGCATTCAGGAGTCTCTTTAATCCATAACGGGTACGGGTAGTGTATCATTCGCGTGCGCCACCTTGTGGCGCACGCCGTCCGTTATGGGTTAATCTTGCTATGGCTTGTGAATGCCAGCCGTTTTAATTTTTGTTGTGTTGTGGTTGGAACATAGAACAGAAGAATGCAGTGTCCTTCCGCCCCCCCCCCCCCTTCACGTTTCCACCTCCGTTTATGAGAAACGTTCATACCCCACGATTCCATACGCTGGCCTCCACTTTTACGACATCTCTCTTCATGAGCTACGTACGACGCCCGTCTTCTGCCCGTTGAAAGGGTCGTGGCTGTGAGAAAGGGATTGTCTTCATTGTGGTTTTTGACGATCTTGTCAAAAACCTTGGGAAGGAGGCGTAAAGAAGGCAAAATGAGCACAACTGCTATTTTTTCAGCCGTATTTACCCCTTCTGAAAATCTTGAACAAGTGCGATCGGCCGGTTAAACTTAGAAAATGTAGGAGGAGTAAGTTCTCGTGAAATTCTTAGTATTTTGCGCATTAGTCCTGAAATTTCACGCAAATTTTCGAAACTCGCGAATCTTCTCACAAAATCCCTGCACCCTAACTGAATTCTATTCCACCTTTTGAAGATACGCTATCAGTTCCACCCAATGCCTCCTCACTCTTAGACAAGCCGCAGAAATGATCCAGTGAAGGGCATTTAGGGCAGAGAAAAGGCATGGTAAGGAGGTAGCACGGGGCCTATTGTTCCACTGATTGCTCTAGTTCACTGAGGGAGTGATGGGCTAGGCGCATGGCAGCCAAACTAATCCTAAATGAAGCGATTGTCATGTTCCAGCACTAGCAGCACTGGAAAGAGCTGTTTTTAACACCATCAACCTCATGAGATCAAAAAATGATGGCCTTATGGTGTAACTTCATTTTCAGTGGGTGTATGTTCTTCACCACAGACGAAGATTTGGTCATATTTTTGTAGTATATGGGTAACCTGAGTCAGTTTTACTGTATCATCCAAGTTTAGATAACTTGTGAGTAATTTCTCGGATTGAGATGGGGCCGCGTGCAAGTCGTAAAAGTGCATGCAGGTGCAGGCTAATTCTAGCGTGGTATCTTAAGTATTGAGAGGATCTCACTATATGTATGTATCTGTAAACCTAAGCCCGCCCCATCTACTGTCGATCCGTCTTCTGATCGAGCTGATCAGTCAGTCTGGAGTTTTGCCGAGCTCACGGGATGTGAGCAGATCGGTCTCTCTCGGAATACGAGAGAGGGAGTTTCCCGAGATCGTTGGACGACTAGGTGATTAACTCTACGTCGCCGAATGCGAGCATTTGTTCTCTTCACTGGCGAGTCTGGATTTTTCCGTGTGGAAAGTGTGGTGCAGTAGTCCGTACAGAAGAATCACGCGATGGTCGCCCATCTGTGTTCAGAAGGTAGTGTACGTTTGAACATCCTCGGCGAGACAGATGTTTCAATAGTACAAGATGGCAGGTGAATTGCGGACAGTCCCCTTTTCTCTAGCTTGGTTGAAGCCTAGAATCTACAACAGCCAATCAATATACAGAGTGCTACAATCTACTACTGTAGATTCTAGCATCGTATATTATTATTGGCTCAGCAGTCTTCATTATGTTATATGTTGTAATTAAATGGTTGATTGCAAAAGTGCGTTGCTGTTTTGTAGCTAGCGGTACGGTCTATCGCATTGCTGACACTTCCAACAACAGCTGTACGAAACTTTCGGACTAGGGTCGGTCAACATTTTTCTTATGATTGTACTATTGCCACTCTCCGCTCCCAATCGCGCACTATCTATTCACGTCATGTAATGTAGTGCAAGAAGTGCACTGCAAGATGAACACTGTAAGAGGCACCGCGCCCCATCATTCGCTGTGAAAGTTACCGTATCCCGTCAACTAACCCCTGTTTACATTGTGCTCCTATGCACTCCTTTCTCTTCTTATCCCTTTTATTTTCTTCGTCACAATCGCCAAGATTTCGTCAGTCAATTCTGCGTAAGTGAAAATGTATCAGAGCAAAAAGTATAGTACCAAGCTCTGTCAGGGCATTGGGACTGTGGTAGCAAGGGGGACCACTATCATGAAACATGTTGGCGTTTTGTTTGTGGTGATTTGTGTTGATGACGAGGAATGAATTTTTCCATCTCCACTTGAATGAGCTTAGCGACGGTACACCACAGCGCGGACATCACTTAGGTGCTTCACAACAAGTCGGGAATATCCCTGTGCCTCTAGCGTTCATCGCGTGGTAGACCTTTTGCACTACATAATCCTGTGATGAGAGTTTGGTCAGTGCAATAATCTCTACCTTACCTTAAATTCCGTGAACTTCGCATCGAATCCCAATTTTTGTACAATTCGTGCATATTTCCTGGCAGCAAGCCTAAACCAAATATAATTGTGCAGTACTATGTGCGGATGACCCTATGTTGTACCCTCCGTAAGAAGAACGAAGTCTTAGTGACTCTAAACGATTACAAGTATTATAAGCTAAATAATAGAGGTGAGTAAACCTGCTAGCATCCTCGGACTTAGCTCCAGTGCAGACCATCTTACCACTGGAAAAGATGAGCGCCGTAGTTCGCGGTTCTCGAATACGCATAATTACGGCGGCAAAACGCTTTGGATTATATTCAGCATTACGAGCATGAAGTGCAATCTTCTTCAAATCCAGTGGAACTCCTGAACCGTGAACAAATTACGAATTCGTTGAAAAGAAGGACATGAAGAGGAGTGGAACTGACCAAGATTGACTGTCGACACGATGTTCTGCAACGTCGGCATCGGAATGTCGATGGCACTTGCTGGAGTGGCTGGCATCATGGCTGCTGGCAGGTTTGAGGCCGGCATATGGTTAGCGTCCCGATAGCTTTGCTGGAACGATACCGACTTGGCTTAAGCTCTTGAGGGTGGAGTTTAGGGGAGTGGTTTAGCTACAGATGTTGTCCAAGGGTTTTTCTGTAACAGAACAGCACAGGGACCTCGCCGCTTGCCCACGCAGCTCAATTTCCCCTCCCCTCCCTCTTCCCGATGTGTATCGATATATCATATCCTTTGTAGTTGTTCATTTGCGTAACTGTAGTTAAGAGAATGCTCAAAATAAAGCTGGTATGGTTATCGGGTTCGACAATGGAAGCAGAGGTGCGCAGTAGACTGATAGCGGAGAAAAGGAAGGAAACCACCACAGCCCTAAAAATAGAAGCGTTTTTTGTGGCTGCGGAGTGTTTTGGGCTCACACATTGAGACACTAGATACTGAGTGCCGTGGAGAGGGAAAGGAGTGGGGAGGTTGAGGTGGCGAAAGAGCATGGACAGCGCAGACTTGGCTTGTGATATCAATGCCTAAGCGGAATCCCGGACGCTAGATGGAACCCCTAGAGTTGAACTTAACGCCTTAGCCCCTTTGCCTGGCGATTTCATGGCCGCAAGGTCGATACGAGCCGAATTTTTGCCGATCCCTCTTCTACCTTACTCGCTCTAGAGGCTTCACTCTAATCTTGAAGTTGTGTCTTTAACCCATTCGCGACCGCGCAGGATTGCGCAATAGCAGCAGCGTCAGGAGATTTTTCTTCAATAAAATTCGAGTGGAGGGAGATTTCCTCTGCCCAGGGCTGGCGTAGATGAGCGAGGGTATGAAGATTCTTTCCATGGAAGAAAACTTTCCAAATTCCATTTGAAACCCTGCAGCCACAGTAATGCCATTGTCCCGAGTGAGAGCTGTGTCAGCCACCGGTGGCTGACATTGTCACGAATGGGTTAAGGTCAGGCCTGGTCAGCATTATTACATTAGGCTAAGGACTTTGAGGTCACATAGGCTGGTCAATAATAATTGGGTGGTTCGTTCAATTTTGTTCATTTTTCACGCTCAAGAAAACGTCATTTGTTTACTGAAGCAACTAATATAAGTATTGGTATATATTACAAGTTTCATTTTATTTTGCAATGTTTTCCACTATTTTTTTCACTCATTTTCGCCCTCCCTTTGACCTGTTTGATTAGTAAGCGATCCCACCGCAATGATCGCCTCGGTTTCAGAGCGATCAATTCTCCAACTTCTTCCTGCAGCTTTTGAACTTTTCGAAAGCGACTTGCCTACCAGGCTGTGTTGCATCAATCTTATAAACTGATATGCCGAAGAACGTCTCTCCATTGACTACGCTGAGGACGGAGCATTCCCCATTCAAACGGCAAGTTCCTTACAAGTTTTTCGGAGCTTGCCCTCGCGTCAGCCTACCGTGTTAAGGATGTAGTAAACATGTGGACAATTCTTCCCAGCGTGTAAACGTTCCAGAACAGTTAATTCAATAACTTCTAATCCATCTAGAAGTTCAAGAAGCTTTATAATGATTGCAATTCACTGACAAGGAATTTTCTGGCTGACCCGGGCGTTCTTTGCCAGTGACATTAATAAAGTCACTTCTTCTAACAAGGGGAGGATGGTCGGTCGAAGTGGCCATTTGAAATGAGCTGCACATCACCTTAGAGACCTTTGAACGCGGACCTCAAATCTGTATTCCGCATCTGCTAAACAATTCTCTGAAAAAAACAAAAGGTACAGGGTTTGTTGGATACGCAGCAGACCCACGTTCGGCAGGAATATGAAATGCATACTTCAGGCTCGGATGTGAACCGGTGACTCAATGGATACTGTGCCGATCTAGTGTCTGCAAGGCCAACGGTTTGAGAACTCCATTAAGGTGTTTTTTTTGTATTTTTAAAGAAGTATGCTCAATGAGTCTTATCTAGGGCGAAAAACTGTCTTCCTAAGAGATTGGACATTGGATAATTCAGTTCGTGGATATCTCTCAATCCGCCTTTCGGGGCCTTAATACCAAAAAACTTGAACCTCTAAATTTCCTGCAAAACTCCTCAAGAGGTTCAGAGTGATATGTTGAGAGAGATCCTCATAACCGTTTGGCATAAAAACCTCGTATTCTCCATCTCCTCAGAAACCATTGCAAGAGTTGAGTGGCTCTAAAGAAGGCCAAGAAGGCGTTTTCGCGTCAGACTAGTGCGATATTCGTGTTCAGGAGCTCTAACTACATCTGGAAAGATATTGCTAGGAAAATTGGGATTTTCACCTTTACTTCGAAAAAGTGCTGTGATGCGGTAGTCTTGAGCAGCGTTTAATGTCAGGAAGAGGTCCTGGCGACGCGGCGCTGAAAATGAAGGTGATTTTCATGATGGGGCCTTCTATTGTCCCATACATGGAGTTTCAACGATCAGAACCTTCTTGCCCACAAAAGTTGCACTCGTGGGTGATGTAGAAGGCACCAGCTACTAAAGGGCTCTACTACCCATGGTTGTCCCCACTTTTTCGATGTAGGAGTCAAATTTTCAATTTGGCTAGAAATTTGTCACAAAGGGTAGTTTGACTTCCTGAAGACGATGGTCACACTCTTTCGGCGAGAAAACGCCTCGTTCGTGCGTTGCGTACGCTAGAGTGCCGCAATTACCAAAGTCAGAATATTCGGGAAAAAATTCATCGAACAACGACAATCTACCCCTATTACGTGCTATGAGAAAAGCAAAGAAAACTGAGTGAGCGATTCGATCCTCTGACGTCCGTCCTGCAAATCCGCCTCTTTAACCGTTAGACCATTGTACCACTTGCGGTGGAAAAACCTTCGTAACTTTGTTCGCAGCATCGTTTAGCAGATTTGGAAGGCAGATTTGGAATCAGCGTCTGGAGACGCATCAGGTGGTATACATCTCATTTTAAACGGCCACTTCGACCTACCATCCTTCCCTTGTAAGTTGTTGAAAGTTAAATCTCAAGATAGGATGCATTTAGTCTATTCGCCATCAACTTTCCACAATACTACGAGAAGCCTCATTAGCTGACTTCTTCAAATTAATCTTTACTAGCAGAAGAAATGGATATCAAGTGGTAATTCTGAGAGCACCACTTCCATTGTGTCCACACAGTAAGTAAAATACAAACAGTCGCAGGGATCCTTATATTTTGCAGATTAATGCCGCATTTATCAAATATGATAGCCCCAAGTGAAATTTTAACTTGTTAACCCTTTGACGACCGTGTGGCCCGCCGGTGGGCCACGCTTTCGCTCGGTGGCGACACGTTTTTAGGGGTTTATTTTGGCATTTTTTCATT